GTTCATTTCCTAACCTTTGCTGCCCCCTAGTGGCAGGCCTGAAGAAAAAATTATATATCACTGTGTTTCAGGGGTTATGCTCCCAAGTAAAACAATTTTTTTTAACCAATTTTTCTTTCTCTTCTTTACTTTTCTTTGCTTTTATTTTTGAAAAACTACAGCAGGACTGAACCTTATTTGAAAGCATCAATATATGGTATCATGAGCTATAAGACTGGGTATGTAATTTTTTAAAAAATATGTTTTTATTGATTTTGGAGAGAGAGGTAGGGAGGAGAAACATGAATTGGCTGCCTCCTGCATCCCCCTAGTGGGGATCAAGCCCGCAACCTGGGCATTTGTCCTGACTGGGAATCAAACTGGCCACCTCTTGGTGTATAGGAAGACACTCAACAAACTGAGCCACACCAGCCAGGGCTGGATACATAATTTCAACAGCACAATCACATCACTTTTGCTTGTATAGGCAGACATTAAAATTTGGTGACCTGAGAATTCAGTTTATAAGGACTTGGCTTTATAATTTGACAGACCTTGGCAAACTCACTCCAATGGGAGAAATCATGAATCTTATCTATTTATTAGCCTAAAGTATTATTTATAATATACACATGTACATTTTCAGGATGAAAATTTGTTTTAAATCAAACAATGCTGGTGAGGTCTTGCCTCCTTTGCCCTGGGTGCTCTGGCTACTGATGCCTGAAATGCTCTCCCACCACACAGACCCTCCTTCCTTCCTTCTGAAATTCAGCTCACGAATCACTCGAAGAAGCCTTCCTCAGTACCCAGGCAGGCTGGTGTTCTGCATTCCCAGTCTTGCTCCTGCTCAGGAGTGTCCCCCAGCTCATCATCTGCTCATTTATTTATCACCCTAACTCCTGGCCCCTCAAGGCAGGGGCTCTTATCTGCTTCCCTCCAGAGCTCTCGCCTTTGTTGGGCACCCAGCATTGTCAGAGCTCTTTAGTGAAAGTTTGTTGAATGAAGAAAGTGAGCAGGGGAGGGCCCAATGGGGCAAAGGCTCAACAGAGGATATAACCAGAAGTACAGAGGGAGGAGTATGCAATTCCAACTAGAGCAACCAGGAAAAATGTCATGCTGGATGAGAGGGAGTTAGATGAACTGAAAAGGCGGAGGAAGAACACGTTAGGCTGTGCTTTTCCTTCTTATCATTTATATAATGTATAGTTGGCTGTGGTTACCTCGGTGTGGCTATTTAGTTCAGGCTCTCTCCCCTCTTTAAACTGTAAGATGTTTACTTCATAGTTCAGGGTTGTGTCATACCCAAGGATGAGCTGAGTCATGGGGAGAGAGAGACAGTGCAGTGAGGCTGGCCTAGAGCTGGGGAGGGAGTGGCCAGGTCACCTGAGCACAGGGACCCATCAGAATCCACAGCACCTCTATCCTATTCAAGCTCCATTTGCTTCTAGGACTCCTTCCTCTGTAATCAGAGGCATATACTACATTTTTGTTTTTGTCTTCTTAAATCTCACCCAAGGATGTTTTTTTCCATTGCTTTTCAGGAAGAATGGAAGGGAGAGAGAAACATCGATGTGAAAGAGACCCATTGACTGGTCGCCTCCCCCATGCACCCAGACCGACAAGGGCCAGGGATTGAGCCTGCAACCCAGGTACTTGCCCTTGGCTGGAATCGAGTCCAGGACTCTTCAGTCTGTGGGCCGATGCTCTAACCACTGAGCAAAACCAGCCAGGGCAGAGGCATAAACTTTAAAAATGATCCTAGAGCTCATCTAGTCTCCATTTGCTATTCTAAAGCTAAACCAACTCAAAAAGGTAAAGTGAAGTATATGGCGTGATGGGGTGAAAATTCAGACCAACTACTATTAACTAACATAGACTGTGCTTATTCTGTGCTAGCTTTCTAAGGGTTTTAGATTTATTAACTAACTTCTCATTTCAACCTGTTATGGGTTGAATTGC